GGGATATCCGGGGTGGGGCTCCGGGGGTGTCCCCGGGGGGTGTCTGGGGGTCCCCGGAGGTGGGGGGTGGTCCTGGGAGTGGGGGGTGGTCCCGAGGAGGGGGTGGGGCTCCGGGGGTGTCCCCGGGGATGTCCCGGAAGGGTTCTGGGGGGTCCCCGGGGGTCCCCGGAGGTGAGGGGTGGTCCCGAGGGGCGATATCCGGGGTGGGGGTGGGGCTCCGGGGGTGTCCCCGGGGGTGTCCCCGGGGGTGTCCCGGGGCCGGGGGTGTCCCGGGGAGGTTCGGGGTGTCCCGGGGGGGTTCTGGGGGTCCCCGGGGGTCCCTGGGGGTCCCGAGCGCGGCCGCCGCGTCCCCCCCGAGCGCGCCAAAGCCGCGGCGGCCCCGCCCGCGCCGCTTCCCGCCTTCCGCCGGCCACGCCCCCCGCGCCGCCGGCCATTGGCTGAGCGCGGAGTGACGTCAGCCGCGACGCGGGAGATCCCTTAAAGAGATAGTGACACTACCGAGACCGGCACCGGGGATTGGAATTGGGACAGCGGGGACCGGGACCGGGGACCGGGAGCGGGGACAGGGAGCGGGATTAGAATTGGGACACTGGGGACCGGGACCGGGATCAGGAACTGGGATCGGAACCGGGGATTGGAACGGGGACAGCTGGGACAGGGACCGGGACCGGGGACATGGGACCGGGACCGGGACAGGGACCGGGATCGGAACCGGGGATTGGAATTGGGACACTGGGGACAGGGACCGGGGACCGGGTTTGGGATCGGGACAGGGACCGGGATGGGAACCGGGGATTGGAATCGGGACACTGGGGACAGGGATCGGAACCGGGACCGGGGATTGGAACAGGGACCGGGACCGCGGATTAGCATCAGGACCGAGACCGGGACCGCCGTCGGGGATTGGAATCGGGACAGGGATCGGAACCGGGATCGGACCCGGGACCGGGGATTGGAATGGGGACAGGGATCAGAGATTAGGATTCGGATCAGTATCGAGACCGGGACCGGGGATAGGGATGGGGTCGGGATCGGGACCGACACCGGGACCGGGGATCGGGGACAAGGACCGGGACCGGGACACCGCGGACTCCGGCCGGGATGCTCGGGCAGCGGCCGGACCGGACACCGGACCGCAGCCGGGCACACGGGGATCACGGGGAGCAGCCCCGGGGGGACACGGGGGTCACGGGGAGCAGCCCCGGGGGGACACGGGGGTCACGGGGAGCAGCCCCGGGGGGACACGGGGATCACGGGGAGCAGCCCCGGGGGGACACGGGGATCACGGGGAGCAGCCCCGGGGGGACACGGGGCTCTCCGGGGGTCACGGGGCTCTCCGCACACGTGACGGGTCCGCACCGGGACAGCCCCGGGGGGACACGAAAGTGCCCAGAGAAGGAGATCGGGGTCCCCCCGTGTCACCCACCGGGATCGGGGTCCCCTCTGTGCAATCGGGGTCCCCCCGTGTCACCCGATCCCCCCGTGTCACCCACCGGGATCGGGGTCCCCCCTGTACAATCGGGGTCCCCCCGTGTCACCCAACGGGACCGGGATCCCCCCGTGCCATCGGGGTCCCCCCGTGTCACCCGATCGCCCCGTGTCACCCACCAGGATTAGGGTCCCCCTACGATATCGGGGTCCCCCCGTGTCACTCGCTGGGATTGGGGTCCCCTCTGTGCCATCGGGGTCCCCCCTGCGTGTGCAGAATTGGGGACCCTCCCCCTTTTGTCCATGATTGGGGTGCCCCCGTGTCACCCACCGGGATCGGGGACCCCCCTGTGCCATCGGGGTCCCCCCGTGTCACCCACCGGGATTGGGGGTCCCTGAGACATCGGGGTTCCCCCCGTGTCACCCACCAGGATCGGGGATCCCTGAGACATCGGTGTCACCCCGTGTCACCCACCGGGATCGGGGACCCCCCCCGAGTGACAAACAGGGTGTGTCCCCCCCCTCATTTTGCGACCCCGCTGTCCCCCCATTGGTGTCACCCCCCAACCACCACGACTCCCCCACTCTGAGCTGGCTGCGTCCCCAAATCCCCATCCCTGGGGGTCTCCAGCCCCCCAAAACCCCCTCCGCCAGCCGAGGGGGGGGGGGGTCCCCGTGTCCCTCCTCTCCGCCCTCCCCCGGGGCAGGACCGGACCGTGTGACCGGGGGGTGGCTCCACGTGGGGAGTGGGGGTGGGGACCCCCCAGCGCCCCCCCTTTTTTTGGGGGGGAGGGGTCATGCAAATGAGCGCCCCTTTTTCTGTCGCTGTCGCCGTGGCCGGCGCCTCTTCCCCGGCGGAGCCCGAGCTTGGGGGGAGACATCGCGGGGACCATGAGGGGGCTCGGGGCCATCGCGGTTTTGGGGTCGCTCCTGCTCCTGGCTGAGGCTCAGCGGAGTAAGTGGGGATTTTTTTGGGGTGGGGGGGAGCATCCTTGGAGGGTTTTGGGGCGCAGATTCCCCCCCCCCCCCGCT